TATATATATATATATACATATCTATCCTTTTCATTTTTTTTTTCAAGAGGGATATTTGAGAATACTGCACCCATATGTGATATCCATCCCAGTAGAAATCGAACCCAGGTCAGAAGAGTCTTACGACTGACAACGCAGTTGCCTATCAAATTGCTACCCAAGAGCACATATACATATATAAGGGCATTTACATAAATATCACCCTATTGCTAAAATTTACATATCTAACATTTAAACTTTATTTTTTTACATTAATAACAACCAAATCTTTCATATTACATCAAGAATACTAGTATTTTAACTAGGAAAAACAAAAAGGTGAAATGCACATTTCTATGCATAGATAAAGTGCAAAAAATGTAAAAATTAAAGTTCAAATATTACATATGTAAAAACACAGGACTTGGTTGGTATGTATCTAGATCTTGCACACATACTTATTTACAAAATCATTTGAACTTGATCAAATGCCAAAACAAAAAGATTAAAAACAGAAAAATTTAAAAAAGGATAAATTTCCATAAACTGTGACATTCTGTTTTTTTGTTCTGTAGCTCCCAAACATGCACTCAATAACAAAAGCTTTGGTGATCATAGCACCCATTTTTGCTTCATTATGAATGCCAAAAGCTGGCTAGAAAAAACTTCTGAGCAATTTTCAGCCCTATGACATTACAAATTATAATTAAGAGGTATGCCGGGAGGCTTCAAATATTCTACCAGCTCGTATTATAGGTTCTTGAAAGTATTGGAGTGATATAAAAATTGCTTCCTGGAAACAAAATAAAGGAAAAAATGTATGAATAAAGAAGATGGGGGGATTTACATACATACCACAAAATTCCTATGGATTTACATATCTAACACTTAAAACTTTGCTTTTTTTTTTCATTTATACCACAAATCTTTCATATCTCATAAAAATACTACTATTTTAACTTTTAATAAGTGAACTACGCCTTTTCATGCCAAGGTAAGGCAATATACAGGTAAAAACTGAACTTTAGGTGTTAGAGATGTAAATACATAAGAAATGAGTGGTATGTATGTAAATCTTCCAAGAAGATAAAATACCTTCTCTTTTGTTAAGGAAACTTTAGTTCAAAAAATAACAATTTGTCATCACCTCAGTACGAATAGTTCTGCTTCCCTGGTGGGGACAAGTATTTAGATATGAATGAAAAACTTCATTAACACTTTTTCCCTGTCAAGACATTAGTTAAGAAAACAGGTTAGAAAATCATAATATAAATTTGCTATATTCTATCAAGTTTGGATGCAATCAGATGCTATCATCAGTTTTAAACTCCATGAAATTGTCAAAAATAATGAATTTGCTTTCAAGCATAAAAAAGAATGAAAATGAAATTACCACTTTTTAAAATGTGGTTTCTATCCGCAAGAAGATAAATCATATGGACATTTTAGTGGTTTGGACATATAAATAGGTAAAAGTGCAGCATTAAGTTGGCTTAGACAGAACTAGGGGTAAATTAAGCTGAAATGCTCATAGAATAAACCATGTTCCATAATTTCACCTTGGTCTACATTTCTAAATATCCTACAATTATGTTGAGGGAGTACTCATAATGTTCTGCTTCACATTTATCTAAAGCTTTTTCTAGTTATTTTTCTTGTTCGAAGAGCATTAAAAGTTTAATCAGTTGAACTTAGATTTTTTTTTTTTTTTTAATCTTTTACATCAGATTATTCATTCTTAGAAGCTGGGAAGGGTATTATTGGAAAGTAGGCGGTGTAACACTCACCTGCACTTCAAATGCAAGTTCATGCACCCTATATTAATGGCAATTTGGTGACACCGTTAAGTTATTTTTTAAAAAGTTTAGACCAAATGTAGAGTGTGTCCATACATCCTCGATTTGCATGTAATTTATCCTAAGAAAAATGTTTAAAAAGAAATTGAAGAAAAGGAAATAAAAAAGTAAAAAATAACCAGGGAAGAAGTTTTACACAATGGGCTGTAAGCCTTATGTAGCCTTCAACAAAAACAAAGGGGGAAGGGGGATCCATTAAATACCACCACAAATATTAAAAATAAGGTAAATGTCAATGATGAACTTTAATATGGCCAAAAACCAATAAAAAAATAGCAGATGTATTTCAGTATGGAACAAAGGTCCAAGCATGTATTGATTTACTTCAGAATTCAGTCTAGAATAAAATTTCAGTCACAAAAATAATCAATAGCAATAGTACACAATATGCATGTGAAAAATTCCCTTCTTAAATTACAAATTGGCTACAGCTGACCAATATTCATGGGATGAAGTGCAACAATCCAGAAGCTAAAGTTGACCGTAAAATATAATTCACAGTTAAGCGTCTTGTATAAGGCTGCGAGGCTTTATATAAATCAGTCAGATACGGTTGCTACAATGCTAATCAATATCATGAATATTCACCTACGTAGTCCACTTCGTTGACTCTTTTCTATCCTCTCAAAAGTAAAACTGTAAACATCAAAATCAAAAGGAAGTGGTGCATTTGGGGAACATCACAAAGATCCTCTCAAAGCTCAAAGGTGTATTCCTAAGCAACAGCATTTTCTTAAAAAATGAGACGCAAATTTGGCATGGCTGTGTACTAAATTGAGTGAGGCAACGAGCCAAAGCTACAAGCTGATATTCAGAAATTTCTCCAGAATCTAAACTTGTCAGCATGAATTTTCACAATGTCTTGAGGCGTATTCTTAAATCCTTCGCAGGGCATATTCTTAAATCCTTCGCAGGCCATATTCTTAAATCCTTTGCAGCCCAAAGAATATTCAACCAAACTGTGAGGAAAGCTTTAAAAATTTCAAAATTTTGGCAATACAAGCGCCATAATTTTTGTGCTTTTTATTCCATCCTCACATTGTCAAAAAAAGAAGCTTGCAAATAGAGGATTAATGATTAATTATGAATATTGTGCACGATCAAGAATCTGAGATATCATTTAAATAACATCTTGAAGCGTTTCATCTCATAAAAAGGTTTGTTAAAAGCTAAAACACCGTAAAAATGCAAACAAATAAGAAACAGAAGAACCTCAAGAAAACGGATTAAATAGTCCACCTACAAGCAAACAGTTCACAGGTCATGCTATCCCAAACTCTTTTTATTATTATTATTTTTCACCTTTAGATTATTGTCTTCTTCAATGCTCTCCTCAAGACCCCCAAGACCACCAAATGCAATCAAAAGGTGCCTGCAAATTGACAAATTTCAAATGATCAAAGATCAAATAAAGAAAGATGAACTGAATGAGACTACAAGAAACTTTTACCATTCAGGAAAATAAACATCAAATTTCAAGGTTCAAGCTACCAAATCATCTGTTAGCTTTGAATTTCATTTACAACATCACAATAGTGAGAGAAAAGAGACCGTTGGGTTCCTAGACAATATGAATACAAGTATGTAAAAAGAAATGATAGCCATACCACCATACTCTCGAGTTTCTTATTAAGTCCATATCCTAATTCATAATTCCTTACAATATAATCTAAACTTTATTAATCCAAGCTCATCAAGGTTTCATGTTAAGACTTTCTACACATATTAGCAAGCCATTAAGTTAATTAAATGCTAGTTAATTTATGGAACATAATTGAAGTATATAGTAAGGCGTTCCAATATAAAATTTAATCTAGTATAAAAATTTGGTAGTTGCATTTTCAGAACTGGCAACAGAAGACATATTATCAAGTTTTATGAAATACATGTGCATGGTTGCATATATACATACATTCATACATACAATATGTGCAATATGTACAATGCAGGAAAATGCACACGTATACACATGTATGAACTCTCATATAGATAAATATTAAATGCTAAAATCATATATGTTGTCATTAATTGATCCACTAAATGACAAAGTAATGCATACAATTAGAAAAGTTTATCAAATAAAATAGAAACTATTGCAGTGGTGGCAAATATGTTCCCACAAAAATCCAAATTCCATCATCAAACATCAATATCTCATAATAAGATCAAAAATGCTAACAAAATCCAGAACTATATTATGAAGAAAATCCAAATAGAGGAAAGTGATAAAAATGTCAAACATCAGAAGGGTCTATTAACTCATAAAACAGAGAGACACTTGCATGCATCAAGGTATAGCTGTCCTCTAAATAGATGACGCAGACGTCTTTCTGCCTGAACCGGACAAGTGAATTTCAGCAGGGAGACTGGAAGGGTCGACCGGCCCCCCTTTGGGCCTAGGGCTTGCGGCCCAATAGAAATGGGGTCTATCTTATTTGTTGCGCTTTAGGTTATTTTTTGTTCAGTTTTCTGTCAGGATACAAGTACGCATCTCCAGATATTCTCTTCTAGAGTTGTATCTAAGAAAAAGTGGTGCTCCGGTTGTATCTCATTCCGAGTCCGAGGTGGTGACTATCCTCGACTTTACCTCCCTCCGCAACCTCCGCTTCGCTGCCTCTGTCGCCATACCTTCTGCAGACACCCCCGGAGAAAAGTTCTGTGCTGTTCCTGCAGCGACCGTTCCTTACTGCCTCCACTTCTCTCCATCCTTGTTGTTTTCTTGTAGCAAACAAACTTCCAATCAACAAAGCCATCCCTATCCCGTGGAACTTCTACCACCCCAGTCACAAATCTGCCACTCCCTACAGTACACCCAGTTCTCAAGTCCTGTTGCCCTTCTAACCGCAATTCCACTCTCCCTGACTCCCTCCTTGTCAAGAGTCCACCGTAACCCCATCCCCCTCTCCTGCAGCCAGCTGAGGCCCTTACCTTCACTCCTGGCGCACAACCTCAGCCTCTCTGCTTCCTGCTGCCATCCCGCAGCATCCACCCCTATGCTAGCCAACCTTCTTGTCACAGCCAATCTCCCCAGCTGGCTTCCCTTCCACTGCAGTCCACCTTCCAGCATTCTTGCCGCAGATGCTCACCATCCCTCCAGTTAACCGCAGCCACCTAAGGCCCTTCCACCCGCATAACCGCCACCACCCTTTTAGGATACAATCATATTGGTGTTTGAGGCGGGTCTGTGGCTATATCTATTGCTGTTTGAGTGATTGTTTTTCCTTATTTTCAATTTAAATAATAATATTTGATTTCATATAGTTGTTTGGGTTAACTCCGGCATCAATAAGTTTCCGCAAATCAAATATATGCAAAAAGAAAAGAGTTTTGAAAATACAAAGTTAGGAGGAGGTTTTGATGCATATAAAATATATTCAGATTTGACAAGAAACGTTATAGAGTAACAGTCAATCACAAAATATACAGATATCTTCTGAAACTGGAGAAAAAAATTTAGAGCAATTAGAATATATCAAAATTTCTTCTGCCATGAGGATATTAACCAAGTTGTCTGTTCAAAAACAATATCTTACAAACTTTGAATATATATCCAGACAGTATAACTTGCTGCCCACAAATCATCAATAGCATCAATACTGAATCCATAAGAACATCAAATAGTTGAATCAAAGTACACTAAGGACTCTGGGTATCTTTCTTTCATATGCTTATACCACATTGTATGTTTAAGGTATATTGAAGTATTATTTGACTTGCATGGTTCAAGCAGGTTTTAAAACTTGTACTCCTTGCTAGAAAGATTCATACTACTATTAGAAATTTCCTTGAGATTTCACTAATAGAGTATTACAAAAGTTAAAGAAATAAGCCATGAAAATCTTTCATGTTAAATTTTATTTTATATTACATCCTATCCACTAATATTTCTCCTTAAACATTTTAAATATTCCTAACTTCATGCTAATTTTACACTACATCTTATCCATAATCTTTAATTAAAATCATTTAAAATCACAACATCTAAATTACTTGCTCAAGAAAGTACTACCACTTCTTTAGAAGAGGTGACAAGAAATTAGAAAAGGCACACCACATTTATTTATCTTAGCTAAAAAAACCATGTCTTCTTTCATGTCCATTTCTCAATCTTAAGTTGTACTCATCCAATTTTTGCCCGTTGAATTTAATTCAAACAGCATGCCTGCATCCACTACCATTAATATTTTATAATTCCTTCTTTATATCTCCCTCTTAAATTTACCCCCATCATATCACTGGTAAAACATTATTTCTTGCTGTGACAACGTGCAAAAAATGTCATGTTTCTATCACCTACATTCTTCTCCAACTTCCAGAGAGCTGAGGTCTATTTAACATCTAGACCGTTGATTAGGATGTTGAAAAAATGGCTGCAAATGAAACCTTATTCATGGCTCTCAGAACATGGTTGTTATAAGCCTTGTAATAGATGCTCACATATTGAACCATTCTTTTCTGAAAACCTAATCCTCCACTTCTTTGATAAATGAGTTCGTTTCAAATTGCATTGTGACGTACAATACTTTAAACATTGACTATTATATATGCCAACTTTGGCTGAAATAATTTTGTACTGGAAGATAATGTACTTTAACCTAATGTGCAAAAGCCTGCTCATTGTTTTTTTTTCCTTCAATTGTCTCTTCATAAAAGTTTATTTTGTCTCTTCAATTGTCTCAAAAATCTTCGTATGTTATTCGTTCAACATATTCAATGGATAATGTAATATTGAGAGAATTTGTGAGTAATAAACTAAGTAAATAGACTGCAGGCCTAATAAAAAATACTTCTTTTTTGGCAATTTTAAATTTCAAATTTTTTTAAACTTAAATATATGAATTTTGGATAGGCTTTTTTAAAGAGTTAACTTACTTTATTTTACTGCTTGCACTATTCTAATTAGAAATGCGACCATTTGGACTGAAATTTTTGAGTGTTCACATAATGCAAACAAAAAACATATTGGGTCTTACTTCATATTTACGGTCGAGAAATCAAAAATTGTAGTAATTTGGTTGCATTTATATAAAATAAATAAGTTTGATTTTTGCATTTCACAATTTTGAATTGTTACCAACAAACTGCATTGATCTTTAACTAATAGATTTCATTGAAAATAAGTTCCTTCAAGCCTTAAACCATTTTCTGCCTCAACTGCATGATGCAACGCTTCATTCTCAAGGCTTAGTTAAATTCAAGGATTGTGATAAACAGTTTGTGGTTTTGCTTAGACGATTTATTTTATTAATTCAAAAAATTATTTGTGATCATCATCCTTCGTTGTGATTGTGGAGGCATTATAATTGCTTCATTGAAAAAAATGAGTACCATGTAGAAAGAACGAGTTAAGGGATCATGTTCAGATTGATATCATGGGGTTTAATTAGTACTACAACGAGTAAAATGCTTTTTAGCATTAGATAACTTAAACTAATGTGGCTCCATAATACAGTCAGTTGTAACAAGGTTGGATATAGTACTCAGATGCTATGATTTACCGCTTATAATGCACCAAACCTTAAACCCATCTGTTTCAGAGAAAGGTAGTCGTGACAAAAGAAATTAATTTGTGAAACAGAATTAAAGTTTAACTTCAAGTGGATTGTGAAACAGCTTGGATAACAAAGACGTGAATGATTACAATGGAGTCAATTGGCTTATGTCTAGTAAGATCATTCCAAAAAAATTGTTTTACTGGAATCATAAAAGGACTGCCAAGTTTTGGACCATAATTACAGCTGAAAGATGATTAGAAGAAACAGATGATCAACAAAAGGACTGGCTACAAAAAAATGATGAAATAAAAGCTTGCGTAAGAATTATTACTGAAAATTAGGTAAGCTAAGCTCTGATGATTTGATAACTGCACCATGCTCAGAAGTTCCAACAATATAATCATAGCTTTCCTGAGAAAGACAATATTAATATTTCTAGAATATTAAAAAGATAATCCCAAGTTCTTATCTTGAAAATTCTATGTCAATAAAAAGAATTCCACCAACCTTGTGCAGGCAGTTCTTGAAAACTGAACTGAAGTTTGGGGCATACCGAACCTTATAGCCCCAATAAATTCCCATTTCTTCCCGTGGAGTATTTTCTCCAACAACCTTCTTCAAACTATCTAGACAAAAAGAGGAAGAACATTGTTACATCAGAAATACCAACTATATTTTAAGATGATTTCAGCGCACAGAGCTAATTTTTACAACAATGAGTGGGGACCTCATTTGATAAACATGTACCAACCAAGCAAACCTAGCATGTGTTGGAAACTAGGCATAACTCCTTTAACTTTGATACGAAACCCCAATTATATTAACGGCAACGCAGCCTAAACTTAAATATAAAATTTGATGTAAGATGGTCTACGTCCCTTACTCCTTCAAAAATCACCATCATCATCATTAAAGCATTGATGCAACAATCTATGGCCAACTTTATAAAGCTCCACTTTCTATTTGCTCCTATTGACAGCAGCCTTGCATATTATTCACAAAAATTTGAGACAGCTTCTTCAAACCATGTCATCTTTTACCTTTAGTCTATCATTTCTTCTTTATAATACCCCAATAATAATTTTATTTACATTTCTAATAGGCACATTTTGTATCATACATGTCCAAAGTACCCGTTTAATTTCAATTATGTTATATTCAATAAATGCCACTCAAATCATTTCTCTAATGCAAACTCATTAATTTAATCTTTCTAATTTGCCACAAATCAATCTTAAAATTCTCATTTTTGTAAATTTAACTTAGTTAACTTCTTTATGGCTCAACACTCTGTGACAAACAACATTGTTGGCCTAATAATAGTTTCATAAAATTTACCTTTTAATCTCCATAAAGTATTATTGGATGATACTCCCTAGAAATTTTTTTTAACTTTAAACATAGAAACTTAACTCTATCAAGTCAATAAAGAGAAAAACATTGTGTTTCTTGCAAGACATCGATGAATCATATCAGATGGGCCTATCATGCCGATATATAAAATATCTCTAACGTCTTCCATAAATAGAACACAATATTATCATTTGCAATAACTTCAAGAACAAGCTAATTATATGTCAGATAAGATGTTGAATGTGAATTTACAAGGGCATTGAAAAAATCTAAAATAACCCGTAATATTGGTACTAGATTTATGAATTAAAGTTAAATCAGTTACAACAAAGAAAACTGATATAAGTGTTTCCCACGATTTATATTTTATAAGCAGTTATCTCAATGCATTGGACAAACTTATATGACCACTTCTTTCTTGTAATTAAAGGTTTTTTAGGAAACTTTACAGAGCTCAAGTCATACCTACTATTTTATCATCTAATTTAACTTTATAGTGGTCAAAACCAACAATTATTTTTTTCTGAATCTCTTCATACAAATAAAATGAAATTACGTAACATCCTATTTATATGAAATAAATAATGAAAATGCTAAAATTCCAAAACGAGTCCTAACAAATACAAAAAGAGACAAATAACTCCTAGATGATCACATGATAAAAGAAATTGAAAATAAGTAACCCTCACAAATATGATATGCATATATGGATTTAGAAACTCTTCAAAAAGGCCAACACAAAAGGCTTAAATATTAATGGAGATAATTTATTAACTTCAAAAATTCGTCCAACTAGATGAAAATCTAAACTTCAATTTTTTTCCTCATAGCCATGTTTAACAAATTGTTTAAAACATTGATGAAATTTAGCTTTCTCCACAAGTCCCTCTCTACGAGTATTGAGATCAAGGCACAAGGAAAAAAAACAAAATCATTTTTAATTTGATTAGTAGAATTAAATTTGTTAGAATTTTCATCAAGAGTTAAATCAATTTATCCAATTCATTTATCTTTAATAAGCACGAGCTATTCACTATCACATTGAGATCGTTTTTCATTTTTTCGATTGGCTCATGAACTATTAAAGGCATTCAACTTTGCATTTAGAAATTAATTAAATTTCATCTAGAAGCCCATCTCCATACTCATGTTAAAGATTAAATCAAAATTCTATTTAAGGTTTAAAGTCAATTATTATCTCAGATTAACTTCAGCTTAAAACTCAGATTCTAGTTCTCGTTCAAATATAAGAGCAATTTAATTTTCAAGAGTAAACTCAATTTCTCTTAGAGGTCCATTTGAATTAAGTTTAATGGCAAACTCAAATTCAGATTCAAATATGAACTCACACTTATACTCAGTTCAAAACTTAAGTTCTAACTCTTGTTCAAGTTCAGCTTCATAACCATATTCTAGCATAAACACAAATTCATCAAAAATCAAATATAGACTCATTTTGTAATGGTAAATCTTCTTCTTCATTTAATACATCATCAAAAGAATATTTCCTATTGCGTGCTAGAAAATCCTAGTGGCAGAGAAATCTTATTGTTTAGCACAACATAATTTTCCAACACATACACGTATAAACATGTAGAAGATAACCAAATTTTTTTTTATGTGAAAAAACTCTGGATAGGTAAAAAATCACGAGGTTTAGCCCAGTCAAAGTAATCCACTATGAAATTGAAAGAGCATAGGTGCACTTTTTTCTAAATTAGAGAAGATAAAATTAAACAAATTGAAGATCATAACTTTATAATAATGATTTGTCTATAAGAGTCATAATTGAGCTTCAATAATTGTAACCGGTGACTACAATAATAGTAGTTAACTACAAAAAGTTATAATTGGTGGCTACAACAACCATAGTTAGCTATAACAATGGTTGATGGTGGTCGACGGCAACCTTTGCTAGTTGATGGCAATCTCTAATGATCAATGGAGATATCTGGTGATCAACAACAAACTCTTGTGGTCAAATGCGATCTCAAGTGACCGACGATAACTGTCGAAATTTCAATGGTTAAGCTCCTTAACGACCTTAGAATAGAATGATTTTGGGCTCACTAGATTTCTCTATAAGCATGCCAAATTTTGAGATCAAAATATTTTACTATGCTTCAAGTGTTTGATATGAACTTATTTGGACTCGGATTGTATCACCTCTGAGTCATTGATTTACCTTATTATGACACTTAATTTGACTATAAACTTGTTGAAATTGGAGCATGGATGATCTTGAATTTGAATTTATAATTTTCTTGCTCAAAATGCGTCAAGACCCGTACATGATGATAAAAATTTAATGATAACACAATTTATATGCGTCAATTCATTGATAAGGTTAGATTCAATTATGCAAATTGAATTACACTTTATTGACATATGCTTGCCAAATTTTTGAAAAAAAAAGAAGAAGCTTTTGTCTAAATTTTAACTTTATTTTATGATTGATAAGCAAATTTTAAATTTACATCATTGTAATAACATTCTTGAGAAGTGAAAACAACACTTTCGCTTTTGAAGCTTTAATTATATATGTAGCAATTTTAACAAAGTACTCGAATACATCTCAACACTCAATGATACAATTAAAGCCAAAATAGCGCTTTTTTTGTAGATCGTAACATCATTCATTCTTAATCTCATGTAAAATGATTAATGAAATAAATAATTGTAATTTAATATCTAGGCAATATTTTTAACTAAAAAACTCATAAATTTGTTATAATATATTTATCGGGGTCTCTAGTACTAATGTATTCAAGTAGTATATTTATATACTCATATATAATTCTACAACTTTATGATTTAGGTCTACTCGTATGAGTTTCAGTTCACTTGCAATACTATATCAATACAATTTAGCATATATCCCACTAGTTTAGATTTTAGTATGCTGAAAACTTTTTAAAGTAAAACAAATGGTACTCCATAAATAAAAATTCCAAAGTATCAATCAAATATAGGAAGTCCACTAGAATATACCTCTCATCGAATATAAGTTTGTAATTTTAATCATCTTGATAGTTATATTGTATTGTTTAGAATCATGATTTACTTGATTTGTTTACACGTTGCATCTTTAATTAATTTTTTACTTGCTCAATTATCACATCCCACAATTAGTTGAAATGAAGTTAAAATTATAACATATAATACCAATTCTGATGGAAAATATTTTAGGGTTTAAAGTTCACTAATGCTAACCAAAAATGATAATTCGAGTATTCCATTTTTTTCAATTTTAGTAAAAGATTATTCACATTGATTAAAAATTAGAAAACACTATCAATTTTAAAAAATAATCAAATGATAAATTAAGAATCGCCAAATTTTCAAATTCCATAAGAAATTGGAGAACCAATATAAATTCTACGCAGAACTAAATTCAAATAAAAAAGGAAACTGGCAAGCATTAAACTTTAAAAAACCTCAATCATGTACAATAATCAATCGCTAAACAATATATAAGAAAAAAATAATGATAAAAATCATCACAAGTAAGATTCAAACCTCATGTCAGCACAAAAAGATTCACCCTCTTAAAGTAATCATCAATAATTGTGAAGCTCGCATAATCCGCTTCAAAAGCACAGAAAAAATGAGACAAATTCATTTTTATATTTTTTCACTATTTAATGTACAATACATTTGCATGCACCAGGGACCTATTTATAACCCAAAAAAGACCCAAAATATGTAATTTCATATAATCCTCCAAGATGCCGGCTATTATTACAAGTTTTAATTCAACATGCTTTAATTTCAACATGTTTACAGTCTTAGTTTCAAAAAGCAAAAAGCAAACTGCCAACTTTGAACATTCATTCCGACAATTCTGGCATAGCCTAATTTTTCTCAGCTACAGTAAAATACTAGAATAAAGAAATAAGTGAACCCGCTACAATACCCCAAGTTCGAAAGGAGGAAGCAAAGAATTCTACAGTGTCCACATATGGGAAAAACAAAAACAGTTTACTAAAGCTACAGCTACATGAAAAATGGAAGCGCGGCAGAATGGAAAAAGAAAACGAATAGGTAAACACATGAAACACCTATGGGAAATTCCAGACTCAACATGGTGTTTTGTAACCAAAATAGTAGATTTCCAAATCGGTAGATGTACAAAAAAAAAAAAAAAAAAAAAAAAAAAACTGAATTTGTGCTAAAGCACTGAATTAGAAATGGTTAATGTAAGAAATCCAAGAGTTGAATTAAAATAACTCATAACAGTAAACCAAACATAAAAAGAGAATCAAATTAACCTCAAAAGAGAAAATCCAGCTCAAAATCATAATGCTAATCTTGATGTTTATTTTCTGCTTTTCTATAGGTTATACACTTAGATTTCCATCAAATATATAAGTGAAAAATAAAGCCTTAGGATGACATGGAAACAGTCTGCAAGATACACTGAGTTAAATGGTTGACTCGTAATTTAAAAAAAAAAATAGTTGCCTTGAGCAATGGTTTCTACCTGTTTCAAAGTTCCGGTCAGCTCCCATTGCAACAGTCACTCTTAATCCTGGCTTGAGAACTTGCTCAAGCTTGACATTCTGCATAATCACATTTCAAAATATAAATTATTATCATAAAAGATCTTGGTTAAATACACAAATTCTATAATTGAAAGAACAAAAAAATGACATAAATAAACTAAATGGATTTCAGTCTGGATATTTACTATAGCATATATTTCATTGCAGAAAATACATTAATAAAAACCGATGTGTTATGATTTATTTATTAAAAATTCAAAAGGTTTACAGCTTCTAATAAATAATCATTGCAAGAAGCTACAAGAGTTGAGATAGGTCAAGACAGATTCACCAGGAGTTTAATTCTAAGATAATGAACTAGCAAGGTGAACAGTATAAATAATCTTTTTATTACCAACTATGAAGATAAATGAACTTTCAAATATTCAATTATTTAATTGATCTTCCTGACTGACGGAAATGATGTATAATTTGAGGATTCTCACCAGTAATCCAGTATATGTAAACAATAAAATCAATTAAAAATGCCACAAAATGTCTTTGTTTAGCTTGAAGAAGCAATGCTCAATAGAAGAAAAACCATTAACAGAGAAGTTTCCCATTGATATGACTCTCAAATGGAATGCCTCCAATTCCACTGAAAAACAGTAATTGAAGAACAAAATGTACATTAACATCATTCCATTATCCACATTGATCTAAGGATTGGGTTACTCCATGCATTATATAACATTTATATAAATCAGCCCTGTTAAAAACCAACCACGCATCATTATTTGGATGGGCTTGGCCATAAACTACTTTTCCGAAGGCTACCATATCCAATTCAAAGTAGAGATAATACCAAAACAGGATAGATAGACCTCCAGCACAACATTGGAGATTCCATTTCAGAACAAAATGAATAAAAGAAAAAATATAAAAACAGCAAGGAAAAGTGGGTAGCACCTAAAGTGTATAATCAATTTGCGGCTGAAGGTTCAGCACCAGAGCCTTGGCAATGATGAGCTGACAAGCAACTTAAAGATTATTTAATTTATCTGAGATTTTCAACACCGTGTGAATGCCTTTCCTACTCAGACAACAGCATTTAACTACTAAAACTCATTTCATCTGAAATAAGTACAGATATCCAGTTAGACTGCATTCATCCAAGGATTTGAGCTATAGATATATGAGGGATTCGTGCAACAAAGGGGAAGAGTCGGAGTGAGAGAGTCAAAGCAAGCGGGGAAACAATGAGGGATTCGTGTGACTAATAAAGAAGTACGCTAGAGGAAGAGTGAGTCATACTCACGCAAGTAAGATAGGAGGGCAAAGAGTAGGAGGTGAAGCGATTGATAGAGCCCGCATGGAATGAAGACGATGCAAATAGGTGCAGTGTACGAAGCTGAGAGTCGCGAACGACAAGAGAAGCAAATTCAAGCAACCGACGCATGAGCAGTTCGCGTTAGAGGGAGCAAAATAGGAAATCAAGTCGAGCATGAGTAGCAACTACACTATTGTGTGAGGTGAGAGTCCCTGAACAAACAAGCTCATGCGGTTGCCACCTCGAGTAGGTTCATACCAAAGTGGTGATCGAACTTGAAACCAGGGAAACAACATAACTGCGACCGCTAGAGAAGGATTGAGCCATGCATATGAGCAAAAACAAGGAGTTGAATCGATTGAAGAGCTAGCGTTCCAAGTGCTAGACAAAAATTTTAAAGGTAAATTTTATTTAACTTATAAATTATAGATATAAATGAAACAAAGAATAAGAATATTTTGATATAAATCAGAAAAAAATATTCTTTATAAAATAAAAACAATATGATGAATATTTTATAAGTAAATACTAAAAAAATCAATTAATTAATAGAATAT